TACATGTGGGTCAGCCGGACGCGACGCCGCTCCTCGAAGCCGCTCGTCACGCCCGGGATCAGCGTGTCCCACACCGAGCAGGCCGCCGGAGGCTCCTCTGCCGCGAGCATTCTCGCGGCGGCGGCGGCGCGGCGCGGCGCGGCGGCGGCAGAGATTGGCGCGGCGAGAACGGTGGGCGCGGGCAGTGCCGGCCGGGAGGGGGCGGCGAGCGCGAGGAGGACGAGCATGCAAGATGCACAGTGATGAGTCGGAGAGAGGAGGAAGCCAGCCCTTCGGTCGGTGAAAAAAGAAAAAATACGGCAAAGGCGGGGGTCTTCTTTTTCCACCGACCGATTGTGGCACAATAGCTTGGCACATCTTCTCCGGCCGATCAAGGGTCCCATCGCACAAAAGGGGTGTACGAGGCGATCGAGGATGAGCCAATTACCGGGGACAACACGAAGAATGGGGTGGAGACACCTCGTGGGGACCAGCCAACACAATCAGCGCCAAAATACCTATGATGTCACTTATTCCGGGGCCGGTGTGCGGGGAGCGAACCTTAACGACCGCCCAGAAGCTTTCTGAGCAAACCAATCGGGCCGGGATCATCAGCATATGTCCCCTCCACAACATCGTGGGTATTTGAGCGGTATTTGAGGAGCACCGCGACTCTGAAGTTCGGCCGGGTGGTCTGCAGACCCCCCCCCCCGGAGCAGCAGAGGCTCCGTGGGGTCGAAAAGTCGACGCTGGGAGTCGCACTCGTCGAACCATCGCAGCACCACGCGGTCCGCACACACCGCCCACATCCCCTCCACCGCTGAGAAGGCGCAGATCGACCGCCGGGCCGCGTAGTCGTCGTTAAGGAGCGGTTTTTGGAGCCGTACGAAGAGGTCCCAGACGGGCGAACATGCGGTTTTTCGACGACCACACGCGATGTGGTATCTGGTTTTTGCTAAAAACGGGCCGCCTAGTGCAGCATCACTAGTACAACACGCAACCACACTGAGAGCTCCACACTAGCCGGTATAGGCGAGCACCGGCGGCCTCTGTCACCGTCGCCGCTCGCGGCGGAGCCGACGGCGGAGCCACGGGCCGGTGCGACCTTTTGAGCGCCCATGAGCTCGCCGGGACGTCGCCGATGGCTTGGCGCGCCTCTTCCCGCCAGCGCGGGACGGCCTGCCTACAGGAGGGAGGGGGGGGAGACGGAACTGAGCCCTAGGTTCGTGATCCCGTCGCCGGCAAGGGCTGGGAGAGGGGCGGCAAGCGACGGGCGGGTCCGCGACCTTTTGAGCGCCCATGAGCTCGCCGGGACGTCGCCGATGGCTCGGCGCGCCTCTTCCCGCCAGCGCGGGACGGCCTGCCTACAGGAGGGAGTGGGGGGAGACGGAACTGAGCCCTGGGTTCGTGATCCTGTCGCCGGCAAGGGCTGGGAGAGGGGCGGCAAAGCTGCCGAGCCCAAATCACTGTGAGAGTCGTGATTTCTTGTTGGTTAATAAAAACGTCTCTCTCTCAAACGCGGAGAATTACACGCGACGGCAGGAAGCTCTTTCATGGGTAGTCTGATATGGAGGCCACAGGCACAGCCACAGGGATTTCCTGGCGAGGAAGCCGCGAGAGCCTCGCCCTCGGGAGCACTCGGGTGGTATTGCTAAAAATCTCTCTCTCTCGGGCAAGATTATTTGGGCAGAGCGAGTGCGAGAAAGAACGAGGAAAGTCCTTTACAGTGATGAGTCGGAGGAGGAGGAAGCCAGCCACCTTCGGTGGTGAAAAAGAAAAAATATTTCCTCAGGCCGTGGTTTTTTTTGGCGGGATTTTTTCTTTTTCTGTAATCATCCGATGGCCGCCCTCGAGTGCCCCGTCTGCCTGGAGGTGCAGGACGGGCAGCAGCACCAGTGCCGGGAGGGCCACGTCTTCTGCGCCTCCTGCGACTCCAACCTGCGAGCCCCGCGCCGCTGCCCCGAGTGCCGCATGGCTCTCGGACCGCTGAGCCAGGCAATCCGAAACAGAAGCCAAGAGGAGCGTATCGCGGCACTGCCGGCGGCGTGCACGCACTGCAGGCTGGCGACGACGCGCGGCGAGGTCGCCGCACACGAGCAAGGCTGCCCGCAGCGGCCGCGAGCGTGCGCCGCAGCGGAGGCTGGCTGCGCGTGGTCGGGGCTGCTGGCAGACAAGGCGGCGCACGAGGCGAC